TTTATTTCCCTCAAACCGTTTAAAGGCCAAAATTTTAATCTGAAGTTCGAAAGTACTGTTCTAGCTCCAGCATGAAAGAGTGAAAGATGCTCTTCTCTTAACAATAAAGTAACAATATGGTTTTTTGAGGGTAGTAATAACGGATACTTATGATCATAAGACAATTCAGCATGAGACAATCGACCACCTACTCGTAAAAGTCCGTTTTGATCAACAAAAGGCTTCAAAGGTAATAAAACTTTATTGGAGATAGGTTTATTTGAATTTAGTTGCGCAATCACTTCAGAAAAATATTTATTTTGAATAAATTTAACAATTAAATCTGATGTATTCTGTAATTCTTTCACTGAAAATGGACCAGAAAGTTTAGTCTCTTTGTTTCGAATGTTATAATAAAATCTAAGACAGCGTGTTAAAACTCTTCGTAGTTTTAAGAAACATGAGAACTTTGAAAATATTTCTTCCAAATCTGGTTGCAAGTCTATTTGCAAATGTACATTAGAGATTATTTTTCTTTCTTCAGAAGTGTTATTTATTTGCATACGAAAATTTGAATAGTTAATAGGATTTATGAATAATAGTTCGGGGCCATGCCACCAGAGAGAGCAATTTTTAATTTCGTGGGGATTTAAGCCTCTTGACACGAGATCAGCTGGATTTTCTTGAGAAGGAATATGCAACCAATTGCATTTTTCGGACGTCAGCACCTGTATTTTAGCTACTCTATTAGCTACAAAGGTAGACCATCGTGATGGTTCCGAGTTGAGCCAACATAAGACAATTTGTGAATCAGTAAATAGATTGATCTCGGTAAAGTGTAAGACATTTTCAAAAACAGAAATTATTTTTGCACATAATTTAGCAAGAAGAAGAGCAGCGCAAAGTTCAAGACGAGGCAATGTGACAACCTTAATCGGAGCAACTCTTGACTTAGCAGTTATTAATTGAGATGAGACTTCATTATTTTTATAAATAGCACGAATATACAAACAGGCACCAAAAGCCTTTTGGCTGGAATCAGAAAAGCCAATCAACTCTAATCTTACCCAGTCAGAACTTTTCAAAAGAAATCTAGGAATTTGTACGTCAGACAACTGTGAGAAAGTAGCAATAAAATTTTGCCACTGACAAATTAAATTGTGAGGAAGTACTTCATCCCAACTAATTTTAACCTTCCAGATTTCTTGCATTAAAATTTTGGCTTTTAAAACTACTGGACCGATTAAACCCAGTGGGTCAAACATTTGTGCTATGGTAGACAAAACATGTCTTTTAGTGATAGGAAATTTAGAGTCATACATGGGTAAAGAAATTGCAAAATTGTCAGTTTCAGGAGTCCATACTATACCCAGTACTTTACTAGAACAATTTTCTAAATGAATATCATAATTGAGAGGATGTGAATTGACATGTAGGGTTTTTAGAAAACCGTCAGAATTTGAGAACCATTTATGTAACTTAAAATGAGCTGATTCACAGACAGTGACAAGTTCGTCACGGAGAGTTTTAAGTTCTGATTCAGAATTTGCAAAACAAAGAAAATCATCGAGATAACATTGGTTTAAAATTGTCTTTGAGGCTAAAGGAAATTTTTCCGCATTTTTCTTTGCCAGTTCTACCAAACATCTTGTGGCAAGATAGGGTGCACAACTTGTACCATACGTAACCGTGCATAACTCAATTTGTTGTAAAGGTTTATCTGGACTACTTCTCCAGAGAATATTTTGAAGAGAGGAATGAACAGGATTAATTTGTATTTGACGATACATTTTCTCTATATCACAAATAAATACAAAGGGCGCAGAACGAAATCTGCAAAGAATATCATAAAGCTCAGGCTGTACAGTAAACCCCTTGAGCAGAATGTCATTGAGAGAAAGATTGGATGTAGTTTTCATTGAAGCGTCGAATACTACTCTCAACTTAGTAGTAGCACTAGACTTTTTGATAACGCAATGGTGAGCCATGAAATAATTATTAGAGGAAGAAAACTGATTGGACTCTGTTAAAGGAACATATTTTGCGTGACCCAAATTAATATATTCATCTATGAAGGCTTGATAACGCTCAAACAATTCTGGATCTTTTTTAAATCTGGATTCTAAGAAAAAGAATCGTTTAGAAGCTATGGCGAATGAATCACCCAAATCTTGAATCTGCTTCTCATTTTTTAGAGGTAAGTCTACTTGAAAACGGCCATCATCTAAAATCTTAGTTGTTTGTTGGAAAATTGTTTCACATCTTATCTCATCTGGAGTTAAATTTGATCGGGTTTCGACTTCTTCAAGAGACCAAAACTTAGTTAACAATGAGTCAAGTTCCCTTTCGGATTCTAAAGGGTTGAAGAAAGAAGAGTCTCGAACAAAAAAAGAGCTAGTATCATTTCGATGAATGTTAGGCTTGGATAAAAATTGACAATTATTAGGTATAGCACCTGAGACGATATAACCTAGACTCGTATCTTGCAGAATAGGCAAATTTTTTCCAAGATCAATTATGTTAAATTTGATTATTTCACGGTGAATTTGTGCTCCCAAAAGCATGTCTATTTCTGAAGGATTACAGAAATATGGGTCGGCTAAACTTATATTAGCAGGAATATGCAAAGACTTTTTATTTAATTTAATTTGAGGCAATTTTTGAGTTATATTTTTTAAAACTATACAAGATAAATCAAATTGGATATTTCTTTCAGTATTAGAGAAAATGGAAATATCTACCATTTTACTAGAGGTAGTAATATTGTTAGAAATGACTGAAATATGAGAAAATATATCATAGGTATGCACACCTAATTTTTGAACTAAGTTTTCTGTTATAAAGGAACATTGACTACCGGAATCAATAAGGACTCTAGCCAGAATGTCGGAGCCATCCTTGGCTTTCAAGGTGACTAAAGCAGTAGCTAATAGAACAAATGTTGGATTTTGATTGATAGAAGCATGAAACGGAATCTCTGAAACAGGGATTGTATGAGCAACAGTATGATTTTGCCAACTAGAATGAGGTTCGTTGGAACGAGGGTTTGACTCACTATGTTGAGCTATTTGAGCATTTCTAGAGCTCGATGCATCATTATTTATAGATTGACTCGAACCTTGATTACGTGAGCTATTTTGTCTATCAGGAAAAGTAAACTGAGATGGAGATGCATTAACATGTAATAGAGTATGATGCTTTTTATGACAGACATTACAAGCCCTTGACATTGTGAAAAAGAATGCTTTAATTTGTCACTTTGAGGTAAATTCAAGAATTTGTCACATTTATTTAAAAAATGATTAGGCTTATGACAGTAAGCACAGGAAAAATTAGGTTTTGGCTGCCCTGTCTGATGGCTAGTAATATAACTATTGGAAGAATTATTGGATGTTCCAACACCCAAATATGAAGCATTTTGCCGTCGAGTATTACCTTGATTATGAGTAAATTTGTGTACGTCTTTATTGTCAGCCAGGGGTTCAGATGATGAAATTGTTTCCATAATTTCACACTTTTTCTCCAGAAATTTATAAAATTCATCCATTGTGGGAAGTTTAGACCTGTCCCTTTCATATTCGAAAGTTTTTCGCATATTATGGTCTAGCTTTTGAGATAAAATATAAATTAATAGAACGTTCCACTGATCGACAGGTAATTGAAGATTACGCAAAGACTCTATTTGTCTTTTAATATGAGTTAGAAATTCTCGTAATTTTTGAGAAGTTACTTTTGAGAGTGAAGACATATCCAACAATTTTATAATGTGAGCATTGACTATCAGAAAGTTGTTAGAATATCTCTTTTCCAAAATGTCAAGAGCAATCTTAAAATTTGCATCAGAAAGTTGTAAATTGTCAATCAAACTAAATGGCTCTTTTATTAAATAACTTTTCAAATATATAAACTTTTCAATATTACTTAAGCTAGAGTTATTTGTTATTAAATTTGTGAAAAGTTGGTTGAAAGAAATTCATTCTGTAAGATCTCCCGCAAATTGAGGAATATTTAAATCAGGTAATTTGACATGAGGTGTCACCTGTTGAACATGAACCTGTTGCATGGATTGAGTTGCATAATTCAGACTAAAATCGGAAATTTTACGAAGTAAACCTGCTATAGTATTATAGTACTTGTCCTCAATTTCATCTCTGTTATCAAGTTCAAGGTTGTCAAGATCTTCGATTTCATTCTGTATTTCATCATACGCAAAATATTGAGAAGTTAAATTTTTTTCACGAATTTAAAACTGAAATATATCTGTTTTTGTGTCCTTGTTTGCAATAAACCAATTCGCGATTCGAGTTATATTTTGTTTGCAACCCTTTCTTTTCTTTTTAAGGAGATCCATATTTTTAATTTTACAACGTTAAATCCTAACAAACCAAGAAGAATTCAAAAATATAGTTATATATTGAAAATTATGAAACAGTCAGTAACTGAGCCTTTAACTAGGCAGATAATTAATCGTTAAAATATCTTATTAACAAGCAACATTAATTTCAAAATGAGTAACAATGATTGAAAGCAGAGCAGAAATTTGATCTAAATAGGCACTTATAACATGAAAATGACTCAGAAATAAACTCAGGTAGACATACGAAATCTACATAATAATATAATGACAGGGTAGATGAATACTAAATATTAGGAAAACAAAATAAAGAAATAGGTATTATAAAGTATAGATTAGCAGAATAAATAGCTTTGTTCGCGGATCCGATTCGGGATTGGTTCTGTATTGATTCTGGATTATAAAGAGCGCATGCCCGGTTCTGAACTAGTTAGGAACTCTTATGTACCGCGAACGATTCCTCGTCTTCGAACTTCGAACTCCAATTCTAACCTCACATCCTAGAGAGAAAACTAACCTCATTCTGTTGGTGTTTGTTTACTTTTATAGCCCGCCAACTTTCATTTAAATTTTAATTTTTCTCTTAGATTTTTCTGCTTTGAAATTTGGATCGAGTATTGAGTTTTGGTTTAATTAAAAAATCTTGATAAAAATTGATGGCATAAAAATGGACGAGGTCGAATTACAAGGTAATTTCGTATTTACTAGTGTGTTGTTAATTTATTCATTTTTTTTTTCTTCAGATGTATCAGAATTTTTGATTTTTCCAAAGGACGATGATGCAGCAGATCATAAATGGACCCACCAAAATACATTAATGTTTTTAGAGTTATATAAAAAATACAGGGATCAGGTGGGTTCCTTGAGAATTAAAAATCTGAAAAAAATGTACGAAGAGATATCAAAGGAAATGCAACAACTCACCAAGACCCGCGTGACGGCCACAAATTGTGAAAATAGGTGGAAGGTCTTGGAAAGAAATTACAAAAAATACATTGATAACGAGAATTCTACAGGCAGGGGAAGAAAATTTTTTGAATATGCAGAAGTAATGCATAATATACTTGGAAAAAAAAAGAACATTCATCCAGTGTTGCTGTTATCGGCAGACACAATACATACTCCAGCGGTGGCATCAACTTCTAAAGATTCAACTAGTATTACAGAGGCAGAAATGGGTTATGAGGATATTTCCGAACCAGATATACCAGAATCAAGACCAGAGCCAACCATAAGCCGTGAAACTCCTGCAAAAAGAAAAAGAGCAAATAGTTCAACTCCAAAAATGAAAAGACTGAAATTCCATGTACTTCAGGAAACCAGGAGGGACAGGCAAAATTATTATCAGAAACGGTTGGAAATAGAAGGACAGAAGCTAGTGGAAAAAAAACGAAAGAATGATCTATTGGAGAAACTTTTGGAAAAAAACATTTCTATACCTTTTCTGTGATGAGTGAAGTGCAAATATTTTCAAGAATTAAGTAGGAAAGTAGGTATAGTCTTTCCAAAGTCAGCTGAAACAAAGTAAAGGTAAATCACAACTGGTTACTGAATATTTTCATAAGAAATGCACTGCCACTAGTCAGCCACCAGTTGCAATTTATTATTATCTTGTTTCAATTGACTCTGGAAATACTATACTACTTTGTTTCCATAAATGTTTTAATGTATTTTGTTTTAGTTTTGTAGTAAGTTAAGTGAAGCCCTGTCTTCTCAAGAATCACTGTTTTGTTTTTATAGAATATATATTTCTGTTGTTATTTTTGTAGGTTATAAGTATTTTTCTATGTAGTTGCAGCTTCTACGAGAGACTAGACTGATTTGATAAAAAAATAAAGTTGGTAACATTGATTAATTTTTCATGTCTTTATCAAATGTTAGCATAGTAAACAGCATTGCAAAAGGACATACATAACACTTATACTATAATACGCTAGGTATAGTAAAATAGGTATCTACCCATCCAATAATAACCATAAAGTAATAGTTATTTAAACAAGTTTTGAAAACGACTTTTTTCGCACGGCGAGACAGTTTGTTTGAGAGTGTGAAAAAAGGTTTCCAAATGAGTTTTTACAATGCTTTTCCTACAACTGCAAAATAAAACTACTATATTTTATTCACAATCTGTAGTCCAAAGGTACAGGTAAATTCATCACCTTTCCCTATCAAATAGCATTGAAAGGTGACACATTTTACCTGTACCTTTGGCCTACAGATTGTGAATAGACAATATACCAAATTTTTACTTGTTAGAAAACAAATCATCAATATCAGAAATTGGTGACAATTGCAATTTATGTCATGTCATGCAAGTATGAGAGGATCAAAATAAATAGAAAACTAATAGGCAGCGTGTGAAAAACTCAATTTTCAGAGGTTGCCTAACGTGTGAAAAACTCAGAGGCAGTCGTACGAAAAATCATTTAAATATTGATGAGTACATAATGTACCTATGACTATAATACATAATACATAGTTACAATAGAAATAGACCCTGAGATAGTGACTGTTTAGTGGAGTCATTTTTTTGTCTGGCATTTTGAGGACTGAATTTGGCTAGCTAGCTGATGAGAATATGGGTGATTTTAATGCCTGCCACCTGTTGAAAAATTTTGAGAAAAAAAAAATTCATTCTTATGAAGCATTTTTTTTTTAATGATCTTAAATCGTCAGGCTTTTGAATAAAAGATTGACATTGATAAATAGTTCCTGTCTGGCAATCGAGAGAATGGGAAGTTTTGTTGTGAGAATAACGCTGAAATCGCCAGACGGTAATCACAGTTCAAAATTGAGAAAATTCGCAAAATATTATGTGGACATTTCGAAAGGCGAGCAAGCATTAATACCACTTATGTTCCCATCAGTTAATTAGCCACATTTAGCCCTCAAAATGCCAGACAAAAAAAAAATGACTCCAGTACTAAACAGTCCCTATTTCAGGGTGTAAAACTTGAAAAACATACCTTTCATTGAAAGCGATAAATTAGAAGAGAGCAGATTAAAAAAAAATTTAAAAGAAATATAAATTCTTGTGAATCCCTAGAGATTAAATTATGAATCGCAAATTATTCATTACTTCATCTCGAGTAGCTATACCAGCTCTGTCATCCCTATCGGGTTGACCATCCGCATTGACAGCAATGTTATGTTGAGGCACCATTATTTGTTCATCTGCATCAAAAGCAACATCAACATTGAGAGATAAATTATGCAGCACTGCACATGCTCGTATGAAATGAACGATAAATTCCACATTTCTCAGTTTTACATGATACAGTTGTCGGAATTTCTGTTTCATGATTCCAAAGCAATGTTCAATGATATAGCGATTTGTGGACAGTATATAATTGTAATTTCTTTGACGTCTAGTCAAATGCCCATTGTCCCTAAAGGGTGTCAATACATTTTTCACACAGGGATAGCCACTATCCCCCAGGAGGACTGCATCTCCACATTTTTCCTGCAAGGTCTCATAAAGAGGAGAGCTTCGCAGAACCCGGCTATCATGCACTGAGCCAGGATATCCCACAAAGATGTCTCTGATTTGTCGTTTGTGGTCACACACCACTTGAGCCTTCAACAATAGAATACATTATTAGTTTCACCTAATAGTTTGATGAGTTTTTATAATGTTTGCATGTACTTAATTTTAAATAACATAGGTACAATATTAAGCTGAATATTTTTCACCTAGCAATTTTACCAATGATACTCCTCCAGCTTCGCTGTCAGGATATTTAAAGAAAAAAAAAATTGACTTAGTGAGTTTTTTTCTGAATTTGGCTCAAAAATGTCAAAATATAAAGTGTGTTTTTTTTTAAAGATAAAAGTCAAAGTGACATTATGTTGGCAATACAATGTAAAATTGTCAATGCTTTCAAATTTTGTATGTAGAAAAGGCTTGTGTTGCCAACATAGTTACTAAATTTTTGACTTGGGGAATTATCTTTAAAAAAAAACAGACTTTATTCATTATTCACTTCATGATATAACAACTAATGAATAATAAATTTTTACCTGAATTGAAAAAAAAATGCTTCCTGTTCAAATATGAGTCGGGATCTTCTGCAGGTTTGTCTATTCTTATATGTGTTCCATCGATGACTCCTATTACGTTAGGAAAATTATTATTTCTGAAATGGGCTTCAATTTCTTGTTGTTCGTGCAAATGTTTGGGAAAAGGGGAATTTGTTTGTATATTTAAAATTCGATATTGACATTAAAAAAAAACCATACAATTTCAAACCATTCGGCACCATATATACGCTACGACCTTCGAAGCAGTCGAGTTCGAGTGTGCGAGGTCGCGTGTCCGTAGCCAAGACTACATATTTTGAATCAAAAACTCTCCAAAAATATTCATTAGAAACTCAATTATCTACCCGTTTTCGAAGTGACCAGTGGGATTACGTTGTTTATGAAACAGGAGCTCCTGTGAGGCGCCAACACCAGCGCATAGCACAACCCTGTGCAACTCCAAGGTAGGTGCCTTATCTAATATTGCCTTTGTATGGTTCCGCGATCAAATTTCGACGCGTTTACAGTCCGCGGCTCTCCAGAATAAATTTCCCAACGTTTTAATCATAAACATTTTTTGGCCTTACGATCCGGATAACTTGGAACAGTAATAAAGGGGAAAATATTAGAAATTTGTACGTGGAAGCAAAGCATTGACCTTGGATTCTAAAAGTAAAAATAATATCCATTTTATCAATTTTACATAGGTAGATATTTTTCGGATTTGTTTATGTTATCGGGTAAAAAAAGAAAAGGAAAATAACTGTTTGCTATTTTGTGTTTTTTTTTTGGACCATTCCACTTTGAATAGATTTACATTTGTTTATTTGCTTGTTGCTATAATTTCTCTAGACACTTTCGTTAATTCGTTGTTTACATTAGATAGAGTAATATAAATAATAACATTTTAATAATTTAAATTAGTGTTATTAAGTAATAATATTATCATGTCTTTAGCGAAGCTATCAAATAAAAGAACTGTCGCTATTAATCGAATTACAGAAGCTTATAATTTAGCGGTAAAAGCCAAAACAGATCCTTCACAGCATACATATTTTCAAGTGATTTATGAAAACATAGATGAGGCTTACGAGGATTTTAAAAAGCGCCACAATGAAATTATCGGTCTTATTGACTCGGACGCCGAATTTGAAATTCAAGATGCTATTAGAAAGAGTGCAGATGCATTTTATTTCAAAACAAAAACAATTTATACAGAACTGTTCCCAATTCACGCACATCCTGGCAGCTCAGTGTCGCTTTTAGGTCAAAACCAGCAAACAAATAAAGATGTAGATCTACCTCCTTTATCAGTGCCTTCCTTTGATGGAAATCCGCGAAAATGGCCTACCTTTTATGATGTTTATCGTTCGCTGGTTCATGACAATTCAAGATATTCGGATATACAAAAGTTTCAATACCTTCTTTCATTTTTAGAAAATGAGCCGGCCAACCTTTCAAGATCCTTACCTTTAATCGCCTCAAATTATCAGCAAGCATTTACAACTTTGGAAACCCGCTATCAAAATAAAAGATTTTTAGCAACGACGTACTGGAGCTCTCTTACTAATACACCTTCGTTAAAAAACAATTCTTCAAAAGAGTTAAGAGTATTACTAGACACTTTTTCAGAAAACACTGCGGCTTTGAGTAATTTAGGGTTCCCAGTGGACCAATGGTGTTTCGTTTTATTCAACATGTTATTACAAAAATTGGATAATGCTACTAGAATTTCTTTTGAATTAAAGTATAGTACTACCGAACTCCCAACTTTTCAAAATTTACAAGATTTCTTACTAAACCATTGCAAAGCTTTAGAGTCGGTTCAACAAATGCCATCGCAAGGAACGAACTGGACTCCTTTGATAAACAGAACTCTGAAACCAAATACTTCGAAAAATCATTCTTATGATCAACATAATCCAAACACATTTTTAGCCAACACTTCCTCTCATCCTAACACATCGGGGGAACATTCACATTCCCATCAGGGCCAACCTCGTTCCTCTTCGAATAGCTGTAAGCTATGTAATAACGCTTCACACCCGCTGTCACAATGTTCAAAATTTATAGCAAAATCACCTGCAGATCGATTCGCGTTTGTCAAGCAGATAAACGCATGCTTAAACTGTCTTCGTCCTAATCATTTGCTAAGGCATTGTCCTTCATCCTTCAATTGTCGCATCTGTCGTTATAGACATCATACTATGCTGCATCTTCCACAGACAGATCCTCTTCACTCGAGCACAAATTCTGCTACTTCCAGGAACTCAAATCCACCGGCTACCAGCAGTAATCAGTCCTCAAAGTTGTCGCAAGCATGCATAACTGGCAATCCATCTCCTCCCAACGGACTTTGCACTGCTCTGTCAGTTGCTGCATCACGTTCTACTACCGTTCTGCTATCAACTACAAAGGTTGAGATCTTGGATGCTAGAGGTAACTACCAGGTTGTGAGAGCAATCTTGGATAACGGCAGTCAGGCCAATTTTATTACCCAAACTTGCTTGAACCGTTTGGGGTTGGCTAGAGAGTCTTTAAATATACCTGTTTTGGGCCTTAATGAGTCCTGTTCGGCCAGCAATGGCATAACACATTGTAACATTCGCCCTAAGGGACAAGCCAGTCCAAACTTTTTCTTTGATGCCTTTGTTTTGCCTAAACTTTGTTCTGAAATGCCTTCGATTAAAATAAACCCGCAAGGTTGGGAGCATATTTCCAATCTTAAGCTAGGAGATGACCAGTTTCACATACCTGCAGCGGTAGACATGTTATTAGGAGCCGATATGTGTGCGCAGAT